GTTCAAAAAGATACAGTGATAATGTGACATGTGATTTCTGCATAATTTGATAAACAAAATTACTTTTTTTGTGCTAACAGGTTTATTGCTATACTTTGTATCTATCATTATCCATAACGATAAAATAATAAATACTGATTACTGTATACGACTTATGTAAATTTATAACAATGTCAAATACAAGTGGAGATAATATTTCAGATGGCATCAAAGTTTCTAACAAGGTTTTAAATCTTCAAAAAGATGGTATGTTGAAATGACTAGTATAAATTATATGCAATAAAGTAGAGTGAGTTTAAAACATTAAAACTTCAACTATAGAGTAGGATTCTTAAATGCTTTTGCTAATCTGTTTTCATAAATCATAGCAAGGTCTCTTTTCACCGTAGCCAATCCTGATGCCGTCAATTTGGGGCAAGGTTTTCCAGAGTAATTTATCTTTAAGATTTATGTGATGTCTTTGTTATAAAATTATCTGATGAAAGTATCCGATAAATAAAAATTTTTTCATATTTTAAAAAAGTGATCCACCATCAGATCAAATAAAAGAAATTGTAGCAAGAGCAATCGCTATGCCTGAGTGTAATCAATACGCGTAAGTTTCGATTTTTCTGGAATTAATATTTGAATACACGTTATTGAGTGATACATTTACTTTGTCATAAATAGTCCTCCTAAAGGTCGATTGCACACTCGCCAGGCATTGGCAAATACTTTTAGTCCTTTGTTTAATAGGACCTTGGACCCTGAAACGGAAATTATTGTAACCGCTGGTGCTAATGAAGGTTAATGATTAATTTATATAAATTTGATATTTTCAAAATGCCAACTATGCTAATATAGTCTATTATTCTAGGTCTTACCGACCTTTTCGCTGCATTCATAGACCATGGAGATCAAGCTATTTTGATTGAGCCTTTCTATGATCAATACGTTGTGTGTATTCCGGCATTTCTTTCTCCAGTTTTAAATAACAATTATTCACAATTATTTATTATTATTGTTGTTTTTGTTGTCACTATTTTTGTTAATATTAAGGCAAATATCACGATGAACGGTGGTATACCTGTATATATCCCCTTACGCCCGACCAGTGATCCGACTCAGAACATGTCATCGCGTGAATGGAAAATAGATATCAATGAACTTCGTTCTAAAATTACACCAAAAACCAAACTTATTGTTTTTAATAATCCACATAATCCAACTGGAAAAGTGTTCTCTAGGGAAGAAATGATGGAGATTGGAGCAGTAGCACAGGAATTTAATTTACTTATCATTAGTGATGAAGTGGTAAGTTTGTACGGTATATTTATACAACATATTATCATTAATTTTTTTATAATCCTCATTGCAGAGTATTTTTAAAACTATGTACCTTTGCATATAGTATGAACGTTATTATTATGCACCAGATGTTTTCGAACGTATTGCTACTCTTCCTGGAATGTGGGAGCGTACAATCACTGTTGGTGATTGCGGTAAGACTTTTGGAACAACCGGTTGGTGTGTTGGATGGTTAATCGGACCTAAATATTTGATAAAAGCTGCACTATCCGCACATACTAGAATTGTGTTTTGCGTGAATTCTCCTCTTCAGGTTTGATCTTATATACATTGGTTTATATTTTATTCACATATTTACCATTAACGATAACACCATTATGATAAATAGGAAGCAATAGCCATTCTATTTGAAGAAATTAATCAGAAAGAATATTTCGATCGCCAAATTTCTGCTTATACATCAAAACGTGAAAAGTTAATGTCTACATTATCATCCATTGGAATACCATATACAATTCCCCAAGGAAGTTATTTCGTACTAGCCAACACTTCAAAGATTCAAATACCTCAAGATTACGAGTTTCCCAAAGATTTTATTGACGCTCCAAAAGATTTTAGAGTTTGTTATTGGCTGGCTAAAGAAATTGGCATTATAGCAACACCACCAAGTGAATTTTATTCGCAAGAACATAAACATATTGTGGAAGATTTTATAAGGTTTGCATTTTGTA